TGGCTACATGTCAGTAAAGCCATTTAAAACGGTAAGAAATATTTTTTAAAAATATTTTTTAAAGTTCAGCTGCCAAAAATTATTTGAAAGTCAGTAATTGTGGAAAAAATACTTACAGTTGAGAATTATAAATAATGTGGTATTGCTCCCAAGCACTTTCAGCTAAAAGGGGCTTCCCAGGACCTTCCCATTCAAACAGAAGGGTCTCCATGGAGCCCCCCACTCCCTGCTCTTTGGGGGCTGGATAGATTCCAGAGAGCCACACACTTCTTGCATTTGGAACTCTGGGGTAGTTGGGGGCACCAGGCTTGGCATCCTGAGCCTGCTGCACCTGCCAGGAATGCTGGCAGGGTCGGTCTCCAGCAGTGGCCTGGTGGCCAGTGGCCCTTGGCAAGGACTTGGCATGAGGGCACAGAGAGGAGCAGGACCCAGCAAAGAGCACCAGCAAACCCCACAGCAAAGTACTGATGCAGCAAAGTACTGATGCAGTCTCCAGGGGCCAGTGGGAGACCTCAGGGCCCCAGCCCCCGAAGGCTAGGTAGGCCCTGGTGAGTAGCTGGCTGAAGGGCGGGGCCCCCAGGTGGGGTCATTCCCAAGTCATGTAGGGAGAACTGCTGGGCATCCAGGTAAGAACCAATAAAACATAGAATATTATGGGTAATAAACAGTCTGAAGACATTCCATCTCCAGGCTGGGGAACTTGTGGTTTTGGTAAGCCTGTTGACCATTCAGGAGGCTCACAACGGTTTTATGGAAACAGGTGTTTTATATCCAGGATCTACACGCACACAAGCCCCTGCAGTTCCGTCTACTGGCTCATTACAGATGGACAAACAGCCTCCCACTGAGGCCATGGAAGACGCAGAACCACCCATCTGACCATCATTCAGGAGTCAGCCGATTTCAGCCCAAATTTGGGAAAGTGACACCTAGCCTGATCTTAGGAGTTTACAAGTCACCCCCTAGAATCTGCAGGCAGAAGGGTCTGGAGGTCCCAGGCCACACCTGTGCGCCTGGCCCCTGCCCCTGCGGTCCTATGGCACACACACAATGGCAGAGCATCACAGAGCCTCCTACCTGTCCTCTAAGCCTCTAGCCCCGACCGTGGCTTTTTCAGAACAGATTCTCCCTCAGCTGATCCAGGGTCCTGACCAGGCCTCCCATGTAGGACCCAAAGTCGTCAGGTAGATGTCCCCTCACCTTGGTCCTTGCTGAGCCCCACGTGCACCGCAGGGCATGGGGACAAGCTGAGGGGTGGGTGTGGCAGGAGCCTTTAATTAGCAGGGGCTGAGGACAGACTGAACAGTTACTCAGGGCTTCCTCCCCACAGACCAGAACTTGCCAGAAAGGCTGCATCCTCAGGAAACCAAACTCCCAGCCTAGCAACCTGAGGATGAGCAGCAAGGGGCCAGCCTCCAGTGCCCGCAGGTTGGGGTGAGGCCTCTTAGGGCAGGGTGAAGACCCCAGAGCTAAAGACCCCACCAGCGCCAGGTGGAAGCCGCAAGCCGGAGAGTCTGGCACACAGAGCACCTCACAAAAGCCTGGACCCCAAACAGATGGAGGGAGTGAGCTGCCCTCCACCAGGGGCCGCTTCTGGGAAGGAAGAGAAGGCCAGGTTGGCCCTGTCTGTGGGATGTGACCAGTGCCACAGATGCCCATCCCCACCCACCCCCACCTGCCACCCTCCCATCTCCCCACCCCTTGACTTAGAAATGACAGGGCCTTGCTTTGACCAATAGAATGTGCCAGAAAATGATGATGTGAGATTTCTGAGGTTGGCCTTAATGGCTTCTGCTCCCCTGGCTCCAAGACAGCCACCCAGGAAGCTGTGTGTCACTAGAAGAGAAAAGCCACATGGGGGACCCCAGGGTGCCCCAGCCAAGAGTCAGGGGCTCCACGACTGTCTGGCTAGATGCAGCCACTGGGGGGTTTGCTAGGCAGGACAGCAGAAGGGCTGCTGACCCCGACAAAAAGCACAGTCTCACTTCCAGCACTGGGCCTTGGGGGGTCTGTCACACAGATTCCTAGTACAGGACCAGGACAGCCCAGGCACCACTACCCCTGGTGAAAAAAGGGGCAATCTCCCTCCCTTTTCTGAGAGCGCTGACTTTAAAGAGTATGACTGTGGACTCTTCCTCTGCCCAGCGACGTGTGCGCTCACTTCCAGGTGGTGTGCGGTGCTGGATGACACCCTTCCGGCCGATGGCCTGGCTCTCAGATGACTCCAGGCCCTTGTCCGTGTCCGCCTGAGAAGGAGGCCACACCCAAGGACCTGGCCCAGCAACCTGGGCAACAGTGCCTGAACCGTGAGGCCCCACACCGAGCTGACCAGCTCCTAGAACCCAGCACCCATTGCACTGGCCAGGACACAGCCCTTCTGTGTCTGACCCTGTCATAACCTCAGAGCCAGAAGCCTCTCCCATCCTGGCCAGCATAGCTCCTCCTCATCCCCCACCATGCAGGCCCCTCCTCTCCTGCAGCCCTCCCAGGGGAAGGGCTCTGCACATGGCCACTGACCTCAGGTGAGCACAGTCCACTATGGGGGCAGCAGCCGTGTGTGGGGACCCCACAGGTGCCAGCATCCCTGACTCAGGACAGAAAGCCCCCAGAGCTCCCAATTCCCCCCTCACCCAGGGAAGGCCCCACCCTTGCCCACCAGCAGAGGTGGTTCACTTCTGCAGCCAGAGTGGGACTCAGCTCCCCTCAGGGAGGAGGAGGGCATCTCTTGGTCCCCCAAGCTCCTAGGGCGGCCCCCAGGCTTGGGCCATGACAGAGCCCCCAGTGGGCCCCAGCAGAGAGACGGTGTCCAGCCCTCTTCCCCAGACTCCACAGACACCAGCCTTCTGTGTGGGCCACCCTGCCCTGCCCCAACTGGGGCAGTGTGAAGGTGGTGGGGCTGCAGCCCTGCCCTTGACCTTGTGGGGTGTGCAACCACCAGGCCTAACGCAGGGAGGGCTGGCGGTCACTGCCTACTCTCTCCTGGGGCCAGGGCGGGGGACTGGGAGGCTGCTCCCAGCAAATGCCCAGGGCCAATAACGTCGGGAAAGTATGAGGCAACTTTTGAGGACTTCCAACGTGGCCCTCCAGGAAGGAGAGCTGCCCCAGGTAGGTCTGGCCTGGCCCTGGATCTGCAAGTGATGAATGGTCTTTGAAGCCCTGCCTCCTGAATCTGGGCAGTCTGCCTCCTGCCCCGCCCCTGCCCAGGAAGGCCCCTGAGGCTCAGCAAGGCGGCCAGCCCAGCCAGATGCACCCCTGGAAGGTATGGGCTGAGCCGACCCCACGGACGGCAGGAGGCCCTCTCTGGGCATCTCTTCAGGGTGCATCTTTCAGCTGGTAGAGCCCTTGGTCCATGGTGACTGGGCCGCTGTCCCCAGTCCAGGCCACAGGCTCCCACAATGCACCCCTCTGGAGCGTGAGTCCCAGGAGACCTGCATAGCACCCTGGCCACTCTGGGACTCCCTGTCCTAAGCCGGTGCAGCTCTACACACTCCTGTCCACCTCGCAGTTGGGGTGACGCACACAGACAGGCCAGCATGCTGTCCATGCAGGGACAGATCGCTGGGCGCCAGGACACAACTCAGGCACAAGTAGGCTTTTCCAGTGAGCCCTGTGACTCTGCCCAACCGCACGATGGGGCAAGTGCCCTGGCTGCTGCTCTCAGCACGGGCTCCACACCTGCCCTGAGGATTCCCCACCAGCCCATACGTGGCCACCACATTTGGGCACCAGCAGACTGCTGTCAGGCACCCACGGCCCTGTCCCTGCCCTTCCCAGCACCGCACACACGCTGGACCCCCACCCTCAGAGCTGGCCCCCTGGCCTGGAGCTGGGAACAGGACCCCCACAGGTCGCACAGTGTCCTGCAGGAGTGACTGCTCAGGGCTCAGCACTCCAGAGGACGTCCGCTCTCCAGAAACAAAGCAGAGCCTCAAACCAGAAACTCAGATTTTCTAGAGGCCCTGGGCGCATGGCCCAAAGCCAGGACACAAGGACATGTGGATGCCCATTCTGACAGTCAGTGACTGCATGGCTGTAGCTGGGGTCCCCGCAGCAATAGGAGTGTGGCAGGGGTGCCCCTGAGTCAAGGGTGGCCAGAGCCTCAAGGCCACTGAGGGGTTTGCACTCTGATCCATCCCAGGCTGTGACCCTACTGAGCCCCCTCCTGCTCCGGGCAGGGAATGTCTCAGCTACCCCAGGCAGCTTCCCCACTGGCTGCTCCTGGCTGTGGAGACTGCCTGAGGTTGTCCCTCTGTTCCCAAGTCCATGGCCACTTGGGTCAAAAGAGAAGAGCCTCCAAACTCCTGCAGTTTGAGGAAAATAAACAAGAGGCTCTAACGGACCGTGCCATTTACAGCTGTGGGGGGGAGACAGCATTTAGGGCTGGTGTGACCTCGGGAGCCCCTTCCTTCTAGGGCCTTGAGCTGAACCCATGAGCCTGGGATGCTCAGGGTAGCTGCCGCCCCAGCCCTGTGGCAGAACAGCCACCACACACCCATAGCATGCTCCCATGCCTCGGGGCTCGCCCCAGGGCCCTCGCCTTCATGTGCACAGGGAGCTAGGGCAGCCAACAGGAACCAGAGGTGACCCCCCAGCTAATGGAGTGCACCCCCAGCCTTTACGCCTCCTCCTCACAGTGTGGTGCTAACATCCTCATCCACAGGGATGGGGGATGCCCTCTCAGAGGGGGTGGCAGGACTGAGGCCAGGAGGTCCTGGCTCCCAGCAGCCACCCACCCAGGCCATATACCCAGACAGCAAATCCCCTTGCCCCTGGGCCCCAGATCCCCCGGAGGTCAGGAAGGGCAGGGAGGGGTCACTCACTGAGATGAAGCCCAGGGAGAGTGAGTTCAGGGAGATATTAGTGGGAAATATCCCCAAATCCACTGATTTCCTTTTCAACACAAACAGAGAAGGACTGAAGGACTGATTCCCACCAGGGTCTAGAATATCTGAGGGTTGAGGACATGCCATGTGCCTGTGCTGCCCCAGCACCCACCTTACCTCTGTGCACCACTCAGAGTGGGCAGCATGCTGCTTGGAGCCTGTGGCGACAGTTGGTGGGCAGGCGGCGGTCCAGGCTTGAGCCCCACTGCTCTGCACAGCCTGCTGCCAGCCCGAAGCCCCAGACAGGCCCCAGACTGGGTGCGGCTCTGTGCAGTGTTAACGTGACTCCCAGAGCAGCTCACCTGCAGGCTCCGGTATGAGACCACGCCCTCCACCCTCACCCCAGTTGGAGGACTTGTGCTTGGTGCTCAGGAGCAACTGCTGGGAAGGAATTCAGTTCAGAGAAGCAGAGAAGTCAGAGTGAAAACGAAGTCAAGAGAGCCGAGGGGGATCTGCTGCATCCTGTGACAGAGTGACAGAGCGGGCCTGCCCGGGGTCAGACACGAGGCTGCTGAAGGGCATGACTGTACAGCTGCAGTCCTGTCTGGGTCACCCAGGCAACCCGAACTTGCAAGCCCAAATCAGAGCTCCCAGTATCCCCTCCCTACTTAACTAGAGTAGAGCAGAGACAGAGCGAAGGCTTGTGCTTAAGTCAGGAGAACAAAATGAAACAGCAAAGGGACAAAGCAGAGAGGGCAGACAAAACACAGTAGGTTAGGCAGTAAGAGGTCTAGGGCAAAAAGTACGCACTCCAAGGAGGGGGAGTGTGGGCCGCCTCAGAGAGGAGGTGCGCTTTAAGGGTTTGGGGTTTGGGGTTTTACAGGGCCCTTTGTGTAGGGGTCAGCATAAGGCCTGATGTGTACAGGTGATTTGTAATTCCTTTGAAGTTTTGTCTTAAGAACAGGGTTATTTAATTTAGGTGATTGTGTTGGTCTGGATCTCGGCATTCTTTATCCACATAGGTTCATTTACACTTAGGAGGTCTACCTCCTGTCCTGGTTACAAAGTTACTTAATTGATTAAGGGGCTGGAAGAACAGGAAAAACAGCATATAGATTAAGTTTAAGAATAAACTGCACCTTTTTGCCAGACTAAGTAGATTTTACAATGGCCTGACCCCTCCCCATTTCCCTGCTGTGCCTGGTGGGGGACAACAGAGAAGTCCTTGACGGACAATCTTTGGCCTTGGAGGCCTGATCTAATTGGTACAATAAGGACATGGGCTGCACTCTGATGCTTTCCTTTATTTGGGGAATATATGGACATTGCAAGTCACTCCTGGCCTTTGAAACTTCCGTTAACTCACTAAATGCCGTGAGTCCTTTCAGGCTCTCTGGTTTTATAAGGTTAACTCTGAGTCCTTTTAGGGGTACTGGCTTTATTCCCTCTCCACCCCACTTACATCCATCTTCCAACCTAATAGAACCAGACCTTCACTGGAGTCTGGGGCATCCTCCACAGCCATCCCACCCCCACTCACAACTAAAGATCTGGTCCTGCTCACCCCGCCAGCCTCCCACTGCCTGCCCACTGCACGCCCCACAGTCAGCTGGCCCAGGGTGGGGCTGGAGCGGGAACCTGTGGACACCACCAAGGGCCTACAGACCCAGAACCCAGCGGAGACATGAATAATTGTGTGTGAAATGCAGCCGGAGTCAGCCCGCAGCTCTGGGGATAAACGAGGGACACAGGCCAGACGTGGGAGCCTCCCTCCTTCAAAGCCTGCTTCATACGAAGAATAAGCCTGACTGTTTTTACATCTTGGGCTGGAAAGGAAATTTCAAAAGAGGATACCACAACTGGAAATAAACAGAAATGTTAGTAGATCTTATTGCTTTAAAATTATGTCTTTCTTCAGGAAATGTAATTCGAAGCCAAACAATAGGCTGGAAATGTCTGCAGCGTCCTGACCAAGCCTCAAGTCCATACAAAGAAGACAAAGCCCAGCCCCGGGAGGCCCCCACCACACCCAGCAGCCCTGAGGCCAGAGAACGGGGCCTGAGCGCCTCACCCACAGCCGGCCCACCCAGACGTCAGGCCGGGCTGTGGGGACAGCGGAGCCCGTGGGAGGCCTGGCTGAAGGCCACAGCTGGTACCGTCACACCTACTGTCCAAAGCCACTAGGGCCCTGCAGGTCCCGGGGGGCCTCAGGACGGGGACAGGCCCAGGGGCGGGAGGAGAATGGCGGCTCAGGGCACGGCTGCCAGGTGAAGCTGAGCTCGAGGGTGCCAGGACTGAGCACAGGGGCAGGGGCAGGAGCCAGCAGGGAGGAACGAGCCTCTTGGGACAGTGGGGGCAGAGCTCCAGGAGGGGGGTCGCCAGTGAGGAGTCGCCCTGATGGAGGGGGGGCGATCAGCAAGGGCTGGGTGGCAGGGACTCAGTGTCCCCGTGGCAAGAGGGCAGGGCAGTCCTCTTAGACTCTGAACCTCAATCTGATCTGGTCCCCTTGCCTGGGTCCCCAGACCCCTCACAGACTTGGGGCCCCCAGGTCCCCTCCCTCAACACTGCACATCCCCACCCCAATCTCGAGTGCCCATCTTGTGAACACTGCCTAGTCCCCCCACCCACCCAGGTGGGGGTCTCGGCTCAGCTCTCAATAGCCCTCCTCCGACCCTTCAAGGCCCCAGGGTGGGATGGGACGCCACGGCCAAGGTGCTGGGCTTGGTGGGGAGCTGCCCCCGCAGAGGCCCCACTGTGCAGCAGATGTCTCCCTGTGCCCTCTGCCCTGAGGCTAGCGACCCAGCAGCCAGGACGGGGAGGCAAGGCTTGGAGTGAGGGGCCTGCAACGCACCCAGCACCGACTCGTCTACTCCAAGGAGGACCCTGGATGGTGGGGTGCCATGGGCATGGGCCCCAGAGATGCTCAGGCCCGGCCTCACTGGCCCCAGAGACTCTTGGCTGAGTGGCACGCCCTGAAGCCAGCTGCCTCCCTTCCCTGCTCACCTCCGCCTGCAGCCTGAGGTCAAGGTGCCTAAGGTGGAGTGAGGCAGCCCCCTCCTGGGCCCTCCCTGCACCCCCCGCATCCCCCTCCCTGGAGTCTTGGGGGCTGCCTTGCTCCACCTTTAAAGGGGAAGCTCTCTTTTCCACCCAGTCTCCCAAACCTTGAGTCCAGGAGGCACCTCTCTGATGCCGGCATTTACAGAGGGCGGGGCCCAGCACACCACACGCCCACTGGAGTCCCAGCTCCCTGGGTGAAGGCAGGAAAAGTGGGCCAAGGTGGGACGCTAGGGGCCACTCATGTACCCCCACCTCAGACCAAGGCTGGGAGAGCAGAATATGATAAAGCCTCAGGACATGCACCTGTGGCCCAGCCACAGGTGGGCCCAGGTCAGAGGGAGGGGCCATCTATGACCCATAGGTCCCAGCCTAGAGACCAGACCCCATGAGACCAGGGTCTGGGGGCTCCAGTTCACGCCCAGCAGGACCCAAGGGGCAGATGCAGCTTCCAGAAGAGTAAAGCTAAGTTGGCACAGGCACTGGGGCCCTGCTGGCAGAGCCACACCCGGAGGACCAGAGAGTTGCCGCCATGCCTGCCCAGCTGGAGGCCCCATGCCCCCTCGGTCCTGCTGGCCCACAGTTTGACCTGTGTAGGGCCCTGCCCACGCTCACACTTCCGTGCCGGACACTGGCCTCTGGGCCAGACCCCAGGTGGGAGAGAGCAGCAAGGCCACGTGTGCCCTCCTCCCTTCAGCTCTGCCCCTTAGGAGAGAAAGGCTTCCGGCCCCCCGAACGGGAGGATGGAGGTGGCTATGGGCAAGGGGCTGGCAGGACTATAGCCAGGAGGCGCTCGGCCCCAAGCACCCCCATCCTGGGCTCAGGGCAGCATGTGACAGGACTTCTGCCTGCCGACCGCCCACCAGCGTCCACAGAGGCCCTGCCATGCAGCAGCCATTTGGGCCTTGGCCTTGGACCATGAACGTGAACATCCCCCAAGGCCCAGGTCAGAACGGAGGCCAGACCCTCAGGGATGCTGCCACCCAGGCATCCCCTGCCCCCAGCTCTGCTTCTGAGGCCAGAGTCAGCCAAGAATACAAGTGGCCAGGGCAGTGGGCCCACCCTCCAACAGGCTGCTCTCTCTCACTATCCCTGGGTCCCACTGGCCACGGGACCCGGAAGGTGGCTCTGGGCACTGCACATCCCACCCAGAAAAGGGACACCATCCCTCACCTCTAGACGAGCCAACAGGGAGGGGTGAGCCAGGAGGAGACAGGCACCCCCCACCCCAGAAGCTCCTTCCTCACGCACCCCTGTACCAGGACCTGTCCTAGAACCTTCCAGGCAACATGGGCTGTCCCCACAGGGCAGCAGGGAGGACCAGGCTAAGGCTCACGGAGGGCAGTCCTGAGGGCCAGGCAGGCTGCCAGCACATACCGCGCCACCCTGGGGAGCAGGGCAGTGGCCCTACCGCCGTATGGCCATCAGGAACTGAGCCTTTCAAAGTGCCAGGCTCACCTGGCCCTCCCTGGGCCCCTGAGGTCCAAGGGGCCTTGAGCATAGGATGGCAGGCAAGACTAAGAGAGGGGCTGGTGAGGCCAGCTGAGCACACCCCCATCCTTGCAGGGGTCAGCGAGGAGATGGAGGCATCCAGAACGAGCATTCCCATTCATCCAAGTGGGCAAGACCAGGGGTCATCTCCACCTCCCCACAGGGCAGCATCCTGGTGGGTGCCCTCAGGGTCCTGCAGGGCCACGGGAGCCCCAAACTCTTCCTCTGAGTCCTGGGGGTCCACAGTCTTCAGTCCTGAGCTCAAAGGAAGTGAGCTCCCCCCTACTTCCCCTGCAGGCCTAGGCGGGCTGCCGGCACCCAGCCTCACCCCCTTGCTCCCTGGGCTGGGACCCCCAGGCCCGCCTCCCCGCCCCCTCACTGGGCCTCCTCCCACCCTGGGCCCCCCCTCCGCAGGTCCTCACCCACCCTCTTCTCCCACTGCGGCACCTAGGAGGGCTTAGGGTGAAACCATAAACCTTTCCTCATGCAAACATGATAGTGCCTTAGCACCTCCAGCCAGGGAGATTATCCTCAGCAGAAGCCCCACCTGGGTGCAGGCGCCCTGAGAGGGGAGGAGGGGAGGGGAGGGGAGCCTCTCCAGCCACGGGGTCTTGCCGACATACTGGCCACCCAGCTTGCTCCTTTTGAACTGTTCTATGTGAGGCTCTGTCTGCCTCCACACCATCCCACCGGGCTCCCTGACACCCATGAGCACTGGGACTGCATCCATGTATCTGCGGATCTGTAGTGTCCTCCCAACAGCCCAGGTCTTCGGCCCTCAGCCAGCATCAACCCAGAGATTTGAGAGGCATATCGTCTTCCCAGACGCCACGGGGTTTCCTCTAATTTACCTGCTGGTTCCACAGGTTTTCTGGGTGTATAGAATTGCAAGACCTCCCTTCTGGTGGAGGCACATTTTATCACCACGGTTTGTGCCTGGAGGCTCCCTCCCGATGTCCTGTCTGCTCACCAGGTGGTGATGTGTTTCACTGACTCTAAAGTGGGGTGGGGAGACTAAGAGACATCACCACCCCACAGTGTCAGATAAATGAAAAGTGAGCCGTCACACGAAGGCAGAGCAGGGGAAGGGCCCACTCTGCCGCTGGGAGCTCAGGACAAATGCCCAGCAGCCACGGGGGCAGGAAGCCCTTTCTTCTACATGCCCACTGCCCAAACAGTCACACTGGCAGGAACTCATGCCTATCTCCTCTGCCACCCCCTGGACCCAGGCCATGGGGCAGAGCAGCCCAGCTCCAATCCAGAAACACTGGGAAAATACCAGCATCAATCTAGCTTCCAGAGAGTCAAAGCACCGGGAGCCACCTGCTGACCTGGGCAACGAGGACACAGGCCAGCTGCTAGGGCCCCAGCGCTCCACCGGGCTGAGTGTCAGGCACCCACAAGATCACTCTTGTGCCATGGGCCCCCAGGGCCACCATGGGTATCCAGCCAGGCATGGTGTTACAGTGGCCACAGCCATGGGGACAGAGCCAGCTCTAGGGGCCAGTGAGGCAGGAGGGACCCTCAGAAGTTCCGACAGGAGCCCAACTGCAAAGAGAGGCTGCAGCCAAGCCCAGCCAGGTGCCAGAACCAGGTGAGGCCACAGGCGGCTGGCAGACTATGGGAAGAACAGCTCTCATTTTAAATCCTGGAGAGCAGAAGGGGCAGTTGGGGACAGAGAGGAGCAGAGGCTGGCCCCCAGCCCAGAGAATAGTCACAGGAGTCCTGACACCCGTGCCCTGCTGAGCCAGGTCAGGGGCTTCAAATCAGCCCCTCACCCATGCCCCAAAATTGTGCTGGGGCCAAGATTTGTGCATGTCAAGGCTTCTGCCTCAGATACTGCTGACATTTGTCCCCAGCATGACACCCACTTCTGCCGGGGTATGGCTCTCCCAAGCCAGTGGACTCTGGCCAGGCAGTGGCCCAGGGGCCAGCCTTCAGGAGGCTCTGCTGGGGCTGCTGCATTTGGGGGTGCATCTCACTAAGGCCCGGCAGCCAAGCTGGCCTCTCTGCCTGGCCTGGTGGCATCTTCCCTGGGGTCTCTGAGTTAACTTGTCACCTGGTTTATTCAGGTGTTTTAAAGTGTACATGTGCTTGGCAAAAAAAGCACACAGCATGGAAAAAATATAAGGCGCATCTCCCTCCTTCCCAGCTGCCCTCCAGGCTCCTCACCAGGGTGAGCTTCAGCCTCGGCCTCCACGAACCACAGCTATCTGTGCAGAGCAGCCTCCCTGGGTCCTTTCCAGAGGGAGGCAAGCTGCTACCCCCACCGTTCCCTGATCCTCGGGCCAGGGGTCTCAGAGGAACACTCACCTCCTCCGGTGGGCACCCGGCCAGCAGCCACCACCACCTGCAGACAATGCAACATGTGTGTCCAGGGGACACGTGTGCACCAGCATGTGTGCGTGTGTGTGGCACGTGTGCCAACCCATGTGCTTTGCATGTGTGCCTTGTATGCCTGAGCCTGAGTGCTGCATGTGTGCCCGTGTGTGCTGTGTACCTGTGTGTGCCCGTGTACCTGCATGTACTGTGTAGGTGTGCCTGCAGGTGTGTGCTTCATGTGTGCCTGTGCATCTGTGTCTGTGTGCACATGTATGTCCGTCTGCATGCATGTGTGTGCATGCACACAAGTGGACTCCAGGGTGAGCCTCAGGATGAACTGCAGAGACCATGGGGCCCACTTCCTATTTTCACATTTTGGGAGCCAGCTTGACCCCCAGGGAAAGAGGCCCTTCCTGTTGCTTACTCCCTACAACCCTGCCACTTGGGCTGCCTTCTGTGAGCCCACCCCTGCAGTAGCAGAAAATACCTTAGCACATGGCCAGGGATGGAAACCCCCACCAGGTGCTCAGGCCTGAGGTTTGGGTGTCCAGGGACCACGGCACTCAGGCACTTCACCCTGGGTTTTCATGAGGCCCCTTTTCTAGCAACAGAAGCAAGGAGATTGTTGTGATTAATTCCCATTTTTACTGGAAGCTGAAGACAGCCAGAAAGAGAAAATATGTCCAAGCCGCAGACTGTTTCCACAGAGCCCCAGCAGCCGCCCCAGGGGCGATCCGGGCCGACATCCCTGAAGCAGTGTGCGCACACCTGCCTGGACAGATCCCACACTTGTGCCCGTCAGGGATCCTCGCCCGACGCTGCTGGGCGCTGCAGAAGCAGAACCGGAAAGGCTGATCTCCGTGGAGACGACAGCAAACCCCCAAGTAGGACAGACAGCCCCCTGCCCTCAACAGCTGCCTTGCCAGCTGACGGCCGCCTAGAACACCAGGAAACAAACACATTCCAGGGTGCAAGGCACTCCTGTCATGCGGGCTCAATGTGACTGGCTGTCACTAATCACAGCCTTTGTAAAGTGCCTACTGACCCTGGCTCTGCTGGTCAGAACCCCAGGATGGATCCAGGCTGTTCACACGGTTGTCACCTCTGCCGGGGGGCACCCAGGGGCTTCACTTCGAGGGGTGTCCTCCCAGGGCTGCAGCCCACAAAGTGGGACCCAGGGCAACACAAGCAGAGCAGAATGTGCCTGATCTCCTTCTGAGAGGGCACTAGAGCTGGCTACCAGGGGACATCCCGGCTTGCAAAGGGATGGAGGGTGCCTGCCCAGAAGAAGAGTGGATGGGCAATGCCAGGCCCTGCTACCCACTCAGCCACCAGAACTGGCAGTGCAGCCAGGATGAATCCTGTCATGTGCCCCGGACTCCACAGGGCCTGCTCCTGGCTCCCACCCAGGTGGCAGGTCACTGTCTGCTGCCGGCTGTCAGATGTAGGCCCTTGGAGGCCGCACCAGCCTTACAGGCCCATCCCAACAGGCAAACCAAGACTAGACAAAGCCCTTCTGTGTTTCCTGCTGACCCTAACAGGCCCCATCAGGACTGAGCAGGCAGCGTCTTGTAGGGGTTCAGGATGCCCTTGGGGTCCAGCAGGGCCTTGAGCTGCTGCATGAGGTGCAGGGCCTCGGGTGGCTTGCTGTAGCCCAAGACGCCCCTTTTCTTGAAGCCCAGGCCGTGCTCGGCACTGATACTGCCCCGCTGTCCAGCTGTCCACTCGTACACATAGGGCTCCAGGGCGCCCAGCAGCGACGAGCTGAAGGCCTCTGCCGTCACGTTGAGGTGCAGGTTGCCATCCCCTGAAGGGATAGGGAGCCACAATCAGGCTGGGCCCCAGGCCCTGCCCATACCTGGGGGAGAGCTGGGTCCACCCCACCTCTGCCCTGCCAGGCCCCCAGCCCCTGGCCTGCGGTTACCATGGCCCTCTTCTGGGGGTTGCAGCTCAGCTCTCTTGGCTTAGCACACTTCTTCCCTAAGCCCTCCCACCCACCTGCCCTCCACCTGCACGCCCTCTGAGGCCACCCACTGGAGTGGCATCCCAACCTGTGGGGCCACACTGCCACAGGGCCTCCCAACCCCCAAGGCCACCTTCTCTGAGGCCACCCCTGGCATTCAGGACACCTTGCTGAGAGCCTCACAGCTCCAGTTCCCAGAACCGTCCTGAGGCACCCAGGCCTCGGCCCCAGGAATGGCCAGGCCCACCGCCCACATGCACGTCCTCTCTCAGGGGTCCCAAAGCGATGACGAGAGACAGAGATTAACCCAACAACATGGGGACTCGGGCCAGGGCTGTGAGAGCTGGCTGGCCTCTGCTGGAGGAGAGCCTGGGGTATGCCCAGCCCAGCAGGCTGAGCAGAGAAGAGGAATGCAGGCAGCGGGCTTGCCCCTGCTGGGGGGCAAGCTGTGCCCTGGGAGGCCTGTGTGCAGAGAGGCAGAGACCTGGGAGGTAAACAGTCAGGGGTCATTGGGCATGGCCAGCAGGCAAAGCTAGCAAGGAACCAGTGCAGACAACAGGGAAGAGGGCCCCTGGGACCAGACTCAGAGGTCAGAGGTCAAGAGCTAAGCAGATGGTGGATCAGGCCCAGTGAAGGTTACTGCCCACCCTTAAGGGCAGGGAGCCTCAGAGGCTAGCAGGAGGCTAGAACAAAGACAGCAAGCCCAGAGGCAGCACGGGGGCAAGGGGTGGCCTGAGGGTTGCTGACCCAGTGACCAAGGGACCTCTGACATTGTGACCTTGAACTTCTTACGCCTCCTCCCTCCAGGTCTGTGACATGTAGGGAGAGCGTGACAGGGACCCCCTCCCCAACAAAGCAACAAAGTGGTTCCGATTGATAAACTCAAGGCAAAGGCACTAAAAACACACCCAACAGGGACCTGCCTGGAATAGCTGGTTGTGGAAAGAGAAAGCACATCCCACTGACCAACCTGAACATACGAGGCCACCGGGCAGGCTTGCAGCCAGAATTCAGTGCCTTTGGGACGACCGGGGTAGTCCAAGAACTGAAGGTTAGTGGAGGGGGCCCAGGTCCCCACCCCTATTCCTAACCCCTGCACAAACAAATCACCTTTAACCCAGGCCTCAAGTAATTCCCTCAGATAAAAGCCCAAGATGAACGAGCTTCCAAAAGTTACACATATACAGGAAAAAAAAGCCACCATGAGCAAAAACCAGCAGAATCAGAACCACAAAGACTTCAGATCTCATAATTTCCATAAACAAAATATAAATTCACATGTTTAAGGAAATAAGACCTAAGCCCTCCCACCCACCTGCCCTCCACCTGCACGCCCTCTGAGGCCACCCACTGGAGTGGCATCCCAACCTGTGGGGCCACACTGCCACAGGGCCTCCCAACCCCCAAGGCCACCTTCTCTGAGGCCACCCCTGGCATTCAGGACACCTTGCTGAGAGCCTCACAGCTCCAGTTCCCAGAACCGTCCTGAGGCACCCAGGCCTCGGCCCCAGGAATGGCCAGGCCCACCGCCCACATGCACGTCCTCTCTCAGGGGTCCCAAAGCGATGACGAGAGACAGAGATTAACCCAACAACATGGGGACTCGGGCCAGGGCTGTGAGAGCTGGCTGGCCTCTGCTGGAGGAGAGCCTGGGGTATGCCCAGCCCAGCAGGCTGAGCAGAGAAGAGGAATGCAGGCAGCGGGCTTGCCCCTGCTGGGGGGCAAGCTGTGCCCTGGGAGGCCTGTGTGCAGAGAGGCAGAGACCTGGGAGGTAAACAGTCAGGGGTCATTGGGCATGGCCAGCAGGCAAAGCTAGCAAGGAACCAGTGCAGACAACAGGGAAGAGGGCCCCTGGGACCAGACTCAGAGGTCAGAGGTCAAGAGCTAAGCAGATGGTGGATCAGGCCCAGTGAAGGTTACTGCCCACCCTTAAGGGCAGGGAGCCTCAGAGGCTAGCAGGAGGCTAGAACAAAGACAGCAAGCCCAGAGGCAGCACGGGGGCAAGGGGTGGCCTGAGGGTTGCTGACCCAGTGACCAAGGGACCTCTGACATTGTGACCTTGAACTTCTTACGCCTCCTCCCTCCAGGTCTGTGACATGTAGGGAGAGCGTGACAGGGACCCCCTCCCCAACAAAGCAACAAAGTGGTTCCGATTGATAAACTCAAGGCAAAGGCACTAAAAACACACCCAACAGGGACCTGCCTGGAATAGCTGGTTGTGGAAAGAGAAAGCACATCCCACTGACCAACCTGAACATACGAGGCCACCGGGCAGGCTTGCAGCCAGAATTCAGTGCCTTTGGGACGACCGGGGTAGTCCAAGAACTGAAGGTTAGTGGAGGGGGCCCAGGTCCCCACCCCTATTCCTAACCCCTGCACAAACAAATCACCTTTAACCCAGGCCTCAAGTAATTTCCTCAGATAAAAGCCCAAGATGAACGAGCTTCCAAAAGTTACACATATACAGGAAAAAAAAGCCACCATGAGCAAAAACCAGCAGAATCAGAACCACAAAGACTTCAGATCTCATAATTTCCATAAACAAAATATAAATTCACATGTTTAAGGAAATAAGAGAGAAAAAAACATAAAAGACTGACAAAGCAAATTGATTTTATCCAAATCAATCTTCTAGAAATTAAAAATGCAATCACTGAAATATAAAACTCAAGGAACAGGCTCAAGAGCATGCTCTGCAAAGACAGACTAATGATCTGGAAGATAAATCAACACCGTCCAGACACGGACAACAGGAAAGTGGTTAAGAGGCATGGAGACAACATGAGGTCTAAGCTCTAGAAGGAAGGAAGAGGAAATGGGGGAAAGACAGCAGTGGGGCAATTTCTCATGCTCTAGGCAGGACAGGCAGACACTCACCAAGACAGATCAGAGTGAGAGTAAAGAACCCCAAAGACAAAGTGTGGGGAGAGAGAGGGCAGGAGACAGCCAGAGAGGGAGAGAGCGACTTTAGGGGACTGGCTCACACAGCTGTGGGGCTGGCAAGCCCCAAAGCTCCAGGGCAGACCAGCAGGCTGCAGACCCAGGGACGTACTGACGTGGCAGCCTGAGTCCAGGCGCGCCAAGAGTCAGAACACCCTCTTCCTCAGGACCTCAGTCTTCTTGTCTTGAAGCCTTCGACTGACTGGATAAGGCCCACCACATTACGGAGGGTAATCTGCTTTACCCAAAGTCTGCTGATTTAAATATCAACCTCGACCTAAAAAATACTTTCACAGCAATATTTATTTTGGTATTTGGCCAAACATCTGGGCAGCACAGCCTGGCCAAGCTGACACATAAAGCTAATCATCACACATTTTTTAGGAGGTGCAGAATGATACTGATTAGCTTCAAACTCTGATGAGACTGCATGCTATAATCCTAGGCCTACCACTGAAAGGATGTATGTGTATAACTCCCAAATTCACAAATGAAAAGCTTTAATGAGAATTAAATAACAACCAGAAGAAGGTAAATAAAAATTTAGTGAAAAAGAACTAGAGAGGAAATGAGGGGCAAACAGAAGGCCCAAAGTAGGATGAAATAAATAAAGTAACTGAGTAATGACAGCATGTGTGAGTGACAGGCAGCAGGACGTGCCACCCGAAAGAAGGCCACTTTGGCCAAAGGATTATTTTGAGCAGACGGTAACTGAGAAGAATCAGACACCAGGAAAGCTCTCTGCCCTCTCCCTATTCACCTAAAATCAGGACATAAATGTGTAAAGGTGTCCGTCCCCCACCACTGTCTACCAGGAAGCACAGAAATAATCCCAGGAGAGCTCTAGCCTTCGAGGAGCCTGGACACACGCCAGAGGAAGCTCCCTAAGGAGCCCATCATCAGTGGTCTCCCCGTGCGTTTACCTTCCCACAGTTTGCCCCTGGAAGCTCAAAGCCCTCTTCCTTTGTGACTTCTATAAAGATACACTGTTCTTCGTCAAGATGCTCTAGAAACCCAAGCCCTAACCCCCTTGGAGCCACTTGTCACTGGGCCTCCTTTGTGTGTGCATGATGCACAGGCTAGTGAAGTTGTCTGTTCTTTTCTTATTAATTTGTCTTTTGTTGGTCTAATTTACAGGGCCCCAGGTATAGAACCTAAGAGGGTTGAAAGACAATGATTGGCAAAGTATGCTGTCTATAAGACATACGTCTGAATCATAAGGACAGAAAACAGTGGAAAGTAACAGGACAAAAAAACCACATGTCAGGCAAATACTAAATACAAGAAAGCTGGTATTACTATATGATATCAAGCAAAGTAGGCTTCGAGGCAAAAGCAATTCTAGAGATAAAGAGTCAGTCCATCACAATAAAGATTCAATTGGCCATAATGAAACCACAGTTCTAATCTCCTGTCTTCAAAACTGACAGAACTACAAGGTGAAAGAGATTAGTGTATTGTCACAGTAGGGAATTTCTGACACATCGATCAGTCGCTGAGCGACCCAGCAGGATGTGGAAGACTGAACACAAAATGTGCGTATTTATCTGTTAGATCTGTACAGACACCAGCTCCACCAGCTGTCAAGAACACCTTCTTTCCAAATACTCACTAAGCAGTTACGGAAACGGACCATATGCTGGGCCACTGACCCAGTTTCACCAAACTGCTATGATCAAGACCAAGCTTTCTAGCGACAATGTGATTAACAACAAACCAAAAATTTTAAGAATAGCTAGAAAACTTCCATATGTGCGGAAATTTAAAAACACATTTCTGCCTTACCCATGAGTCAAAGAAAAAATGACAACAGAAATTAGTCCCGAGCCATAAGCGACTGAAGGGAGGGCTCCTGGCCACACTGGGGCACCTCACAGATCAAACTGAGTCTGACAAGGTGACAACACAAACTTCAATGACAACAACCTGTGAGACCATCAGAGCAGCTCTGAGAGGGAAAGCCCAACACCCACGTTAGGAAGCAAGAAAGGCAAAAGTCAGAACATCGAAGATTTCATTTCCAAGGTTAGAAAATGCAACCAAATACACCTGAAAGGGGAGACGAGAGGGAAAGAAATAACAGAAGAAACAGCAGAAAAGAGTGAATAGAAAATAAAATACAATAGAAAGGATCAGCAAAGCCAGACGCTGAATCTTTGAAGAGATTGTAAAGTTGATAAACCCCAGAACAATGTGAGCAAGAGAAAAAAAAACAAATCAGGAATGAAGCAGGGCCCACTCACAACCGCTGGACACAACACAAATTAGGCAGAAGGTCATAAACACCTTGATGCCAATATATTTGAAATTTTAGAAGAAATGGACAAATTCTAGGGAAAAAAAATTACCAAAACAATTCAGAAGAAAAGAAAAGTTCACTTAGTCCACTAGCTATTAAAGAAACTGGTCTGTAGTTGAACTACACCCCAAAAACCCATAAAAATCCTCAGGCCCAGGTATCTTCATTGGCAAATTCTACCAGACGCTGGAGGAGGGAGTGGCAACAGCCAAGGCACTTCCAGAGGCAGCAGGAGGGAGCCCACCTCCTGACTTTGATGTCAGCGAGAGAGGAACCTTACAGGACAGTGTCACCCACGACATCTGAGAAAATCCCACACAGAACACAAATAAATGGGTCAAACAAGAAAGAGTGAAAAGTACTGTGGCCAGTAATACAACCACGGGGTCTCACGGCCTTGCCCCGCACATGCAGAAAAAGCATTCAACCAATTCAGCGTTCACCCTGGACTTTTAAAAGTGAACACCCTCACCCCACCTCTGGCCATGATGGCTTCTTCATCCCTGGCAGGGGCTGGAGTCAGTGCCCCACAAAGGGAAGGCTTCCAGCCCCGGGTCCTGTGTTTTGAGTCCCCGGCTGGGGGCCCTGACACCCACGCCCATCTCTGGGTGAAGATGCACACCTGTACCCTCACTCCACTCCTGTTCGGGCACCCCACCTTCCAGACCCTGCACTCAGATGCTCGGCAGCACCCCTAACCTCCAGCACCATGTCCTAACCAGACTGCTCATGAACTTCCCCCCGAAGTGCCAGGGTTTCCGGGCCCTGGCCTTGGCCACCAACATTCTTGTAAAGGCTGTTTGAGGAGACATACTTACGTTTGATGAAGTCACAGTGACCCATCTCCCCCTCTGTGATATAGACTTCTGTGCCCTGTTGCAGAAACCCTTCCCACCAAAAGGTCATGCACACATTCTCCCAAAAAGCTTGAGGGCGCCCCCCACAGGGAGGCCTCAGGTCCAGGGGGAGACAAACTGGTCTGGTGTGGGCGAGTGGCCTTTCTCCTTGGGCTGACAGTTGCCCTGAGTCACTGACAGTTCTGAAAAGCACATCTTTCCCTCTGGGCATGCGGCTGGCCCCTCTGCCACCAGCTGCCAGCTGCCCCAAGTCAGAGCCCCTGGGATGCCTGCACACCTCTCTGCTCACCCCCTTCACTTTGGGGGTGCTGCTTGCAATGCTGACTCCTTTTTTTTTTTAAACAATGAAGGTTACCACTTGTTTTACATCAGTACCCCAGATGTACCACTTACTCATCTGGGCAACACTGGGTGAGCCCTTTTCTCTGTGCATGTTTGCAGATATGTAAATGGGAAAGCAATGCACCCAAGGACAAACAGGCGGAGACAAGCTCAGGTGTTGGGCTACGGCCACCTGGGTGAGTGGCTGCACTTCGGGTGTTCCGAGTGACCACGAAAGGGGGCCCCTTCACAGATAATATTAGCTTGCCCTCTTTCAAACCTCCCCTCATCCCACAAGGTGGCACCTGAGTCCCATTGTGCAGACAGGCAGATGGAGGCTCCAGGCGAGTAACCCCCATGCCACAGGGCCAGGTGGGAAGGCAGAAGCCAGGCTCTACCTACCCACCTCACATGCCTCCCCTGTAAATGGGGTTTTCAGATGCCCTCTTCCAAAGGCTGCCAAGAATGGACAGAAAGGGCAGGTTTCCTTTCTGTGAATTAATAACATAAAACCCGATTTTTCTGAACTTGGATTTATAATCCTTCCACCTGAAGAAGTGGGGGGCGGCTGTGGGCAGTGGGGCTCTAGGACCAGACCGAGCTCAACCTCTTGGATGCCCCCCAACCCCAGAGGGGCTCCTAGACACCCATGTGCTCAGCCACCACAACTCTTCCTAAATAAACAAAAGAGTCGTGAAGATGATTAGGACTCCCTCAGCTGGCAGGCCTTTCATCAAAGGGGACTGCACCGCCGGCGCACAGACGCCAGTGCAATGAAGCCCCACGTCCTGCATGCCACTCACCCAGGTGGCCGTAGCCCACCACGTGCTTGGCCTGTGGGCCGAGGCGGGTGCGTAGCTCAGTCACGAGGTCGTAGAGCCTCTCCACCGGCAGGGAGATGTCGTACTTGTACACGTAGCCGTCACGGCTCAGGGCCTCGCTGATCCTCTCCCTCAGGGCCCACAGCATCTACGATTAAAATCAGGCCACCAGCTTTCCAGGCAGGGCAACAAGACAGTGGTTCCTCTGTGCGTGTTCCTTGAGCCCTCGTGGCCTCCCCAGGGCTACAGAAACATGCTGCATCACGTCAGGTGTGGGACTTTGACCCGAGAGTCAGTATTGGACAAGGTTCCAGGAGGTGGCCGCAGGCTGGCCCCAGGACACCCCAAGTGGCGAGACGCTCAGAGCACATTGTGCCACTCCCGGGGATGAGGGTGGGGCTGCAGGGGGTCCAGGACAGGTCTGGACAGGAAAGGTGTAGCAGGGGATGAGGGGCTGTGAGAGGGGCTCACGGGGTGCAGGGCTGCAGCAGGGAGTGAGGCAGAGCGGGATAAAGGTGGGGCCCAGGAGAGGGACTCCTCACCAGCAATGCTGCCTTCCAGACAAACCCACCTGTGACTGTCTGGCTTGGTTAACTTGTCACTGTGGACATTTGGAGTCCTCAGGACAGTTGAAAACCCTGCCATGAGCACCACCATATGGGTCAGGCTGCTGTCCCACCTGCCCCCACCCTCCACGTGACCCCACCATTTCAGGAACATCACCCTGTAACTTCTGTGATCCTTATTTCTAACGTACCCATAGTGCCGTGCACCCCAGAAGCAGTCACTCCTCCCTGCCCGTGCTCAGCTCCCATCACATCAGTTTATAGCCCCAGGGTCACTCTGTGTACCCCCACACTCCACACCCACCCATCGGCAGCTCCTACGGGCCAAACCTCCCACCCCAGAGCCAGCGTTGTCCCACACAGCCAGCCGGACTGCCAGCCCCCGAGCTCCGCAGGCTCCTGTCCCACCCCTCACACCCTGCCTCTGCCCTGCCTTTGCCTGCTACCCCCACTCTTTCCAGTCCCACCGTCTCCAGAATGTTCCAGAACACGAGGCACAAGCCCCTCGGGCCTGGGTGTTCCTGAACATCCTCGAGGCTTGCTCCTACCTCCATCCTGGGTTCAAATGCCCCTTCAGGGATGGTCTCTGGCTCCCCTACCCATCTGGGCACCACCACCTTCCCCCAGGATGTTCCTAATACCCTTGCCCACCTGGGAGGGAAGCTGGCCCATCCGTCCTGCCCACCAGGCTGGGTCTCTGGGCTCCCATGTTTGAGAACACTGCTGTGGAGCCAGAATGGACAGGGACCTGCTGGGCACACATGCCAGGAGCGCTGGCCTACCACGGAGGTGGGAGGTGTGCCACCCTGAGGCATATGGCCTCCAAGACTTGCTCTGGCTGATGAGCTTTGGGCACAACTGTCTGCTGGCTCCAAGCAGACACCTGGGGCCACACTGATGTTCCCACCAGCTCCTGCTCTTCCAGCCAAGGGACCAGGGCTGCTGCCTAGGCCCGGGTCCCCGAATTAGAGACACACGGGCAGAGCAATGCGCCAACATGTACCAGGGTGGGTATGCCAGGAGGGAGCAGGGAGGCTGTTCTTACACAGTATGTTTGCACGAGGGAAACAGTTATGCCAGAGAACACTAACCAGGTCCTAAGAGCCGGTGACACACACTGCTCCCCACTGTGCGTCTACTGTGCACCCCTGGTGGGATGCTCAGGACACCCAGAGGACATCCAGGAGACGTGGCAAAGGACATGCAAGGGACACTTAGGAGACACGCCAGAGGACACCCAGGGGACACTGCAAGGGATGGCCCAGCCCAGTTACGCTCAAGTGGTGAAATCCCAATAGTGAGACACAAGGGAGCAGCTGAGACAGAAAAGCGGTGAAACCCCAGTCACCACGACAGGAAGTGAGTGCGGGTCTGAACTGACTGGAGAGGAGTGGCTCCACGCTGCCTGCCCGCCCGCTGCCCTGCCGCGCTGCCACAGAGGCCTCACTCTGTCCCTGCTGACCCCCTACTACACAAAAACTGGTGTAAAGAAACGTGTTCCGCAACAGCAGAGGAGAAAGTCAGTGAGGCCGACTGAGAGCCAACCAACGTCCACTCGCACTGGCCCCGGCACCCCCGGCCCCGTCCCCGCAGCACCCCAGTCGCCGGCACCGCCCACACGCCGCCGCACCACCAAGCGGCCCCGCCCCCCGCAGACCCACCCCCCCAATCCAGCCCCGCCTCCGGCTGTCCCCCTGCCCCCTGCTGGCCACTCTCCACACTGCAGCCCAGGAACCACAGTGGGAAATTGGGGGATGACAGTTCCCACTGCCCCGTGATGGTGACACGGCTCCAATGCCCCAGGACGACCCCTAGTCATTCCCTGGAGGCCTCAGGCTCACCCTCCCACCATACTGGCCCTTCTCTCTGTCTGTTTATAAACACAGCTGACAACCATTGAGCCCGAGTATGTGTCTCTGGTTGGGCAGACAGCCTGTGCTGCCGTCAGGGGCACACGCACCTTGACTTTGCTATGGTCGGTGGCCACCGTCCCGTCGGTCACCAGCCCGCAGCCCAGCACCCGCTCCAGGAAGCTGCTCAGCTTCTCGGCATCATGTGCCACTCCAGAGCCTGAGGTCTCGATGAGGACGTAGAAGGGACTTTCTGGAAGGGGCAGAAAGGGTGAGCAGCAGCGGAGAGCGTGCAGTGCTGTGGGACAGTGTGAGGCCCCACCGGGCAGAGTGACCCAGTCTGGACGCAGGGCTTTGGGTGCCCCAGGCCTCCCTGATGGTGCCCGGAAGGAGCAAGACCGCAGGAGCGGCAACACTGGTGATACGCCACAGCATCAGGGGCAAAGGCACACACTTTAAGGCATTAAGTAACACATTACTTAAAATTTTAAGCTTTTTTTTTTTTTGAGGCTACTGTTAATTTTTTTCACATTTACTGAAAACTCACTGAGTGGCACTTTCTTTTAGGACTAAAGTTTTTTCATGAAAAATATCACAAGTTTATCCTACTACAAAGTGAATGTGTCAGATACTGGCATTTTTCTATGCTGAAATGGAAATTCTGCTTCTAAATTTCCCATAGGTCACTCAGGACACTGGAGTTTTTAAATATTTCTCTTCTTCCCATTAAAAAAGTAAAATATGCTTACAAGAAAATACTAGGAAAACAAAGAAAAACAGAAATGAAATTTTAAAATCTTCCAGCTCACCAAATACAGCTACTCATATTTCAACACAGTCCCTTCCTTTCTCACACACTGCCAAGATCACAGAGCTGTGAACCTGCGGGCAGTGGTGCCACCACCCTGTGCCCTCAACATGACGTCAAGGGCAGCTTTCCATATGTGACGCCCAATGGCCACACAATGCTCTACCCAGGGACCCTCCCTCCAAGGACCCTCTGCCCTCCCAGGGGCCTTCCACCTACCCAGGGACCCTCCATGCACTCGGGGGTTCACCGTTCCCCCAGGGGCCCTCTGTCCCCACATGGATGCCCCCATCCACCCTGGGACCCTCCATCCACCCAGAGGTTTTCATTGTCCCCCCAGGGACCCTCCATCCAAGGACCTTCTGTCCTACCAGGAACACCCCCCCCATCCACTCAGGGGCCCCTCTGACCCTACAGGGACCTTCCACCCACCCAGGGACCCTCTGTCTTTCCCATGATTGTATCACATCTTCTTTCTTTACCAGCAGACACGTAGGGTGCTTCCTGCCTTATTATGCTGAAAACAGCACCTTACAAATAGTTGAGAGCATAAAGACCTTCCCATGCTTATGACTGTTATAGAATGAACTGTCTCCCCCAAAATTCCCGTGGTGAAACCCAAAGCCCACCTCCCACCCCCAACTGTAGCTGTACTGGGAGATGGGTCCCCGGGGGAGGTGATAGGTTAAGTGAGGTCGTAAGGGCGGCCCTGATCCTGCAGGGCCGGTGCCTTTGTAGCAGGAAGACACCAGAAAGCTCTCTCCCTACACCACAGAAAGGCTCCATGTGGACGCAGAGAGAAAGCAGCCGTCTGCATGCCAGGAAGCAGGCCCTCACTGGGACCCACCCTGACGTCACCCTGGTTTGGGACTTCCAGCCCCCAGAACTGTGAGAAATATATTTCTTTGGTTTAAGCCCCTAGGCTGTGGTGTTCTGGAGGGTGGCCTAGGCTGAGGTAGCCATAATTTCTCCAGGGAAGATCTTGGAAGTGAGGATGCCACGGCCCACAGCCCAGTGCTTTTAACTTCTGGGTCCATGACGCCAAACAGCTTTCCAAAACATCATATCAGTTCAGACAAGGAGTGACTGAAATAACTGGGTGTGTTGGACTTATTTGCTCATTCAGAAAGGGCTGGCTGAGAATGTCTTAGGTCCGGAGACAGAGCATTTCTGAGTGCATTCTGCTTGTTTCAAAGACCCCAGAGCCAGGGTGCAACCAACAGCATTTGACTGAGTCAACTTTTAAATTTATGTTTAAAACACTGTGAGAGTTCCACGTTGTCCAATTATGGCAACACCAGAACTATGGAGATACCAATCGCCCCGCCACCTCCTACCTCGTGGACCATGGCTGACAGCCTGACCCATCCCACCAGTCCAAGGGCGTAAAAAGGGTGGTGAGGGCCACCCAGCAGGGGTGCAGTACCTTGCACGGGGCTGGTAAGGCGCAGGTGGTGCCCAACCAGCTGCATGCACTCCGCGTCCATGAACAGGACTTTCTGGAAGGGGCAGAAAGGGTGAGCAGCAGCGGAGAGCGTGCAGTGCTGTGGGACAGTGTGAGGCCCCACCGGGCAGAGTGACCCAGTCTGGACGCAGGGCTTTGGGTGCCCCAGGCCTCCCTGATGGTGCCCGGAAGGAGCAAGACCGCAGGAGCGGCAACACTGGTGATACGCCACAGCATCAGGGCAAAGGCACACACTTTAAGGCATTAAGTAACACATTACTTAAAATTTTAAGCTTTTTTTTTTTTTGAGGCTACTGTTAATTTTTTTCACATTTACTGAAAACTCACTGAGTGGCACTTTCTTTTAGGACTAAAGTTTTTTCATGAAAAATATCACAAGTTTATCCTACTACAAAGTGAATGTGTCAGATACTGGCATTTTTCTATGCTGAAATGGAAATTCTGCTTCTAAATTTCCCATAGGTCACTCAGGACACTGGAGTTTTTAAATATTTCTCTTCTTCCCATTAAAAAAGTAAAATATGCTTACAAGAAAATACTAGGAAAACAAAGAAAAACAGAAATGAAATTTTAAAATCTTCCAGCTCACCAAATACAGCTACTCATATTTCAACACAGTCCCTTCCTTTCTCACACACTGCCAAGATCACAGAGCTGTGAACCTGCGGGCAGTGGTGCCACCACCCTGTGCCCTCAACATGACGTCAAGGGCAGCTTTCCATATGTGACGCCCAATGGCCACACAATGCTCTACCCAGGGACCCTCCCTCCAAGGACCCTCTGCCCTCCCAGGGGCCTTCCACCTACCCAGGGACCCTCCATGCACTCGGGGGTTCACCGTTCCCCCAGGGGCCCTCTGTCCCCACATGGATGCCCCCATCCACCCTGGGACCCTCCATCCACCCAGAGGTTTTCATTGTCCCCCCAGGGACCCTCCATCCAAGGACCTTCTGTCCTACCAGGAACACCCCCCCCATCCACTCAGGGGCCCCTCTGACCCTACAGGGACCTTCCACCCACCCAGGGACCCTCTGTCTTTCCCATGATTGTATCACATCTTCTTTCTTTACCAGCAGACACGTAGGGTGCTTCCTGCCTTATTATGCTGAAAACAGCACCTTACAAATAGTTGAGAGCATAAAGACCTTCCCATGCTTATGACTGTTATAGAATGAACTGTCTCCCCCAAAATTCCCGTGGTGAAACCCAAAGCCCACCTCCCACCCCCAACTGTAGCTGTACTGGGAGATGGGTCCCCGGGGGAGGTGATAGGTTAAGTGAGGTCGTAAGGGCGGCCCTGATCCTGCAGGGCCGGTGCCTTTGTAGCAGGAAGACACCAGAAAGCTCTCTCCCTACACCACAGAAAGGCTCCATGTGGACGCAGAGAGAAAGCAGCCGTCTGCATGCCAGGAAGCAGGCCCTCACTGGGACCCACCCTGACGTCACCCTGGTTTGGGACTTCCAGCCCCCAGAACTGTGAGAAATATATTTCTTTGGTTTAAGCCCCTAGGCTGTGGTGTTCTGGAGGGTGGCCTAGGCTGAGGTAGCCATAATTTCTCCAGGGAAGATCTTGGAAGTGAGGATGCCACGGCCCACAGCCCAGTGCTTTTAACTTCTGGGTCCATGACGCCAAACAGCTTTCCAAAACATCATATCAGTTCAGACAAGGAGTGACTGAAATAACTGGGTGTGTTGGACTTATTTGCTCATTCAGAAAGGGCTGGCTGAGAATGTCTTAGGTCCGGAGACAGAGCATTTCTGAGTGCATTCTGCTTGTTTCAAAGACCCCAGAGCCAGGGTGCAACCAACAGCATTTGACTGAGTCAACTTTTAAATTTATGTTTAAAACACTGTGAGAGTTCCACGTTGTCCAATTATGGCAACACCAGAACTATGGAGATACCAATCGCCCCGCCACCTCCTACCTCGTGGACCATGGCTGACAGCCTGACCCATCCCACCAGTCCAAGGGCGTAAAAAGGGTGGTGAGGGCCACCCAGCAGGGGTGCAGTACCTTGCACGGGGCTGGTAAGGCGCAGGTGGTGCCCAACCAGCTGCATGCACTCCGCGTCCATGAACTCATATGCTGACAGGATCTCGCCCAGCATCCCCTTGCAGGTGCTGAAGGTCTGCAGAACCTCGGGAAAGCCAGGGCAACCTGCAAGGGCACATGGCCTCAGGCACACGCAGGATGGGGCAAGCAGCGACCTGGTCAGGCCTGACCGGAGCCTCACCCCAGACCCACCTGAGGACGGAGCAGAAAACGTGTGCACACAGTGTGCAGGGGGCTGTGGGAAATGAGGGGAGACCCAACTGTGAGGTGTGCACATGGGGCCAGACACAGGGTAGCCTTGAGAAACAGCTGTGCTGCATCCCTCCCAGTCATCAGCCTCAGGTTCCCATGGGTCCTTAATATTTCACTCAAGACACACAGTTCACCAAGCACCCAGAAAGGCCTCTGCGGCCCCCAGGGCTGGAGCGACCACCGGGCATCCAGTGGCAGGATGGGACTGACTGCCCCGCTGGCAGACGGGAGGGCCAGGGACCCTGTGAGGGAAGTGGGGCAAGCACACGGCCTTTCAGGGCCAAGCCAGGAGACACTGAGAGGTCATGTGGGTGTCAGGGAAGGGTGCTCTGGAGGAAAGATCCAGAGAGCACAATCTGGAGGCACACGCCTCCTCTGCATGTCCACAGAACATGTGGAGGCACCACGGCTGGAACACAGATTGGGCACGCATAGCAGGTCTGGCAGCATCTGAACCGTGGCAGAAGAACTGTCCAGATGCAACAGGGAGTAAAAAGTGTACACGTAAGAGGTGAGGATACATGGAGGACAGGAAGGAAGGCTCTGCCACATGTTTAATCACAACCCTCAAAGGAGAGGGGACATGGCAATATTGGAAGAGGTGATGGCCAAGAACCTCTAGAATAGTAAGATGCCAAGCCACAGGCCAGGAAGTCCCAGGGACCCCAGAGGGAAGAACATGTGCATGCATGCACAGCACACCGAGGATCATAAAAGACCAAAGATAAAGAGAAAATCCTTAAAGTGACCTAAGAGAAAAAGAGACAGAACCCCTCACAGCAGCAGCAGTCCGAGCGAGCACCACCAACTTCCCCACCAGCACGGGGGCCACGACACAGTGTGGTGGCATTTCCAGTAGGAGCCAGAGCCAGTGCTGACCTGTGCTGCATACCTAGTGAGAATATGTTGCAAGAATGGGAGTGAAATGAAGACATTTCAGGCAAACTAGAAGTGAGAATTCATCACCAGCAGGCGTTCACTACAGGAAACAAGGGCGGGTGTATTTCCAAGGAGCGTGATCCCAAATGAAGCTTGGATGCAAGAGGCGATGGAGAGCAGGCAAAGGTGTGTCATGGAATGACTGTAACAGGACTGCAAGGGCAGGGGAGAAACAGGAGCACGAGGACTCGGGAGCCAGGAGGGCAGAGGCAGGCAAGGTGCCCGCAGCCAGGCCCTCTGTGGTCAAGGCACAGGTACACCTGGCCAGCTGCAAGATGCTGATCTGCGTAACTTCTGGACTGGCAGAGGAGATAAGGGGATGCCCACTAAGTGGATGACAGGGGGACAGCAGACCTGAGCCCCTTTCAAAGTCTGCCTAGCGGAGCAGAGCCCACGCAGTGGGAGGGTTCTGTTGGCCCGGACTTGCTGAGGGGGCCACAGGGAGGGAGGATCCCTGCAGGCGTGCACTGACTGCAACAGCTGAACTGGGCAGCGTCCTCAGGCCTTCCCTCAGAACTTTACAGTCCGGGCCAGCGAACAGCAAAACAGGGGGAAGAGACAAAAGCCCAGCTCTGTTACAGACTGAAGCATGGCCTGCCAGGTGGCGGGAAAGGCTTCATCCCAGACCTCACTCTGTGAACACCAGGGCCAGGTCCCAGATTCCTCTGGAGACAGAGAAGCTGGGAGGAATGGGAACAGCCGTTCCGTGAGGCCCCTTCCATCCCTCCCTCCTACCCACGGCAGGCAGCCAGAAGAACCAGCTCTGAGCAGCCCCCTGAATGGCCTGCCTACCAAGGAAGGCCACATTCACAGCCCTGGGCCTGGGTGGGCACAAGATGGACACGGCAGTAATGACCCCCAGGGTGCCCTCCGACCCGATGAAGAGCTGCTTCAGGTCGTAGCCTGTGTTGTCCTTCCGCAGGGAGGTCAGGCAGTCCAGGACAGTACCGTCGGCGAGCACCTAGCCAGGAGCGAAGGAAGCGTTTACAGTTCCACACCAATGTTCCCCACCAGCCACCACACTTGGGACGGGCCCAGCCCTGGCCACCCTGAGAAAGCTGAGCCAGAAGCCACTGTTACAGCTCATGAGTATGACAAGCGACTTCAGTAAAAGTAATCTACAGCCACAGAAAACAGGCTATCGGACCTTTGTGATTTAATAGATGGAAGTCCAGCGCATGGTTTTGTGTTTGCCCCATCCTTGAGTAAATAGGACAGAAGGCTCCCTGCTTTAGAAAACCATGGGGCATGCTAAGTGGGGCCAGTGAGGTTCAGGAAGAAGGACCTAAAGGATCTGGAGGAGCAGTGAGCACTGGCGGGGCCTCGGCCAGCAGGACTCCCCTGCTCTGTGCACAGGGCTACTCTGGAAGCCCTCACCCCCGGGGCATGTTGCTGCGTCATGGGAATCTGCTCATGGTGAAGGGTCCATGGTGCTCCAGCGTGGACCGAGAGGGCAGTGGATGCACCATTAGTCTCCCAGGAAGCCAGAGAGTGGCCCCCAAGGCAGATGGGGTGAGCTGAGGCTGGGGCTGTATGACGGGAACAAAGACCCCTAATTGGGGACTCAGCCCCCACACACTGAAGGGGCCTCATGCACCCACCACCACCTGGGGCACAAGAGGGCAGCCCATGGTGGGTGATCCACCTCGCAAGTGTCCACTCCTCACATGAGAGGAACGAGACTAAGGAGACCTTCCCGGGGGCACGTGAGGCAGACAGCTGAGACCGTGTGAGCAAAGCACACACCACTGGGACAAGGCTAGGAGAGCAGAGCCGCCAGAGACCGCAGCAGGGACGAGCAAGCCAGGCCAGGAAGCAGGGCCAGCACCCCCTGCTCACCACTTCCAGGCCCAGGACGGTCCCTCGAAGCGAGCCATACCGCAGAAACCGCAGGCCGCCTGCATTGGTGGCTACGTTCCCCCCGATGTGGCAGCTGCCCTTCGCTCCCAGGTCCAGGGGCATGATGAAGTCCCTGTCCTCCACATACCGGCTCAGCTCCTCCAGGATGCAGCCTGCCTGGCAAACCAGAATCCCTGCCGAGCAAGCGGAGCAGCACGGTGCCGGCTCAGCAACACGAGGGCTCGCCATGGGCCCGCAGGTGCAGACCGCCCAAAGGAGAGCCCGACTCAGAACCGAGCTGAGGGCAGGGGTGTGGACCCCTCCCACTTCCTAAGAGCTATTTTTATGATTTACTGTGAAAAAGAAGAAAACCCAGTAAGGGAAAAATAGAAAAGAAAAACCTTACACACACACTTGGAGGAGGGAGCAGAAACCAGGATTGCTAGGAGGCAGTGGCCCTCGGCTGGAAGATTCTGCCCCAGGACACCCACATTTCCAGGTGTGGGGTGCTGCTCAACACCCCACAGTGCCCAGGTGCCCCCACCCCAGAGACAGTGACGTCATGGGTCCACGGAGCGGGAAGCCCACTTTATTTGCACCTCCAGCTGTATGCCTCACTGACAGGGACAGAAAAGGACAGAAAAGTCATAGGGGGAAGGGGCCACAGTGGCAGCCCACCCCTTCACCTAAGTGCCCCCCAGAGCAGAAATGCCCACAGGGCCATGCACAAGGCTGTGGCTGCTGGGCCGTCTGCGCTTTGCAGACCTGGGCCCAGACCAGTGCTGACCAGACGTGCAGACAGACAGTGCAGGCTCACCAGACACGCTGTGGAAGCCGATGACCTGGTTCATGAGCGCGGTGGACAAGATGATCTCATCAAAGACCGGCACGCTGCCCCCAACCATGCCTGTGTTGCCGCCCTGTGGGTTCACGGCCAGGTTCCTCCCATGACAGTATCTGGGTCGAGCACAGGAGGGGCATCAGGGCCCAGCGCCGGCCACTGTCCTGTCCCTGCAGGACACATTCCAGGCCCTGAGCCCCTATGCCCCTTCCCTTCCCACCGTCTCTTGCCTTGGCCTTGATGGGGTGTGCTGCCTCAGCCCCACGCGTGTCAGGGGTCTGAGGAGGCCATGTCTGTCGTGAGGCTGACGGCTTCCTGGGCTGGAGGTCTAAGGCCGCCCCCAAGCACAGGAAGCCCTTGAGGCTCGGCCCTCCCTGCTCACCTAAAGGAGCAGAGCTCCAGGCAGGCGTGCATCCCCCATCTCCGCTGCGTCCCCTCCCTTGCCCACAGCCCCTCAGACACAGGTCAGTGATCATTCGCACCTCATTCCTAACCAGGCTCCAACTTTGCAAAGACCCTGTCCTCGGGCCTTGAGGGCAGGAATTTGGGGGCAGTCTGTCACGCATCACACAAGCCCACCCTTTGTGAGGCAAGCCTCCAGGACCCCACATGGGTGCCCCAAGGTCACCTGCCAAGGCTAATCTGAAGCATTCCTGATACTAATGCAAGACTGGATGCCACCTTCACGCAGCCCCGGACACTTTGGGGGCTGGCAAATTGACCTCCATGCAGCACTTGGCAAATTGTAGAGTATCTGTGGGGTGGAATCTCATGCATTAAAATTGGCAGGAAGAAATGGCACACACTGCCCAGGGGCACCATGCTCAGTGAAGTAAGACAGTCACAAAAAGAGGATTGCCATGGAACTTCACTTATATGTAGAATCCAAATAAGACAGACAAAACAGAAACAGATTCCTAGACACAGGAAACAAACTGATCGTCCCAGAGTCTGGAGGGGTTGGGGGGATGGGCACAGCAGGGTGAGCAGGTCAGGAGGCACAAACTCCCGGTCAGAAAGTAGGTAGGTCATGGGATGGAAGTGCTTCGGTGGGGGAACAGAGCCAATGACACTGCAGTGACCATGAAGTGACGGATGGCAGCTACACTTACTGTGGGGTCACACCAGCAAAAATATGGAATTGCTAGGATGGACACCGGAAGCTAATAGGACATTGTATGTCAATACACTTCAGTAAAAAAAATGGGTGTAGACCATGTAAGAACTTGTTCGTTATGCTTCAGAAGATTGGAGACTGACGAGAATTAGGCTTGAGATGGATTAATGATTGTACATTGAGCGTTGACCCCCCTATACTGAATTTTATTGTTGTTAACAACCATTTGATCAATAAATATGAGAGATGCCCTCTCAAAAAAAAAAAA